TATATATACACATATACAGACGTGTGGGCAAAATTGTTGGTACCCTTCCGTTAAAGAAAGAGAAACTCATAATGGTCACTGCAATAACGCAAAACTGACAAAAGTAATAATTAATAAAAATTTACTGAAAATTAACTAATGAAAATCAGTCATTGCTTTTGATTTGAGGTTCAACAAAAGCATTTTAAACAACAAACTAATGAAATTGGTCTGAAGAAAAATGAAGGTACCCTTAACTTAATGTTTTGTTGCACAACCTTTTGAGGTAATCACTGCAATCAAGTGATTTCTGTAACTCCCAATGAGACTTCTGCACCTGTCGACAGGTATTTTGGCCGACTCCTCATAAGCAAACTGCTCCAGCTGTCTCAGGTTTGAAGGATGCCTTCTCCAGACTTCATGTTTCAGCTCTTTCCACAGATGTTCAATAGGATTTAGATCAGGGCTCATAGAAGGCCACTTCAGAAAATCCATAGTTCTTGGCCATTCTTTGGTGTTTTTAGCTGTGTTTGGGGTCATTATTCTGTAGAAGGACCATTAGACCTGCGACTGAGACCAAGCTTTCTGACACTGGGCAGCATGTTTCACTCCAGAATGCCTTGATAGTCTTGAGATTTCATTGTACCCTGCACAGATTCAAGACACCCTGTGCCAGATGCAGCAAAGCAGCCCCAGAACATAACTGAGCCTCCTCCATGTTTCACAGTAGGTACAGTGCTTTTTTCTTTGTAGGCTTCATTATTGCATCTGTGAAGATAAAGCTGATGTGATTTGCCAAAAAGTTCCGAAACAATTAAAAACATCAGGGAAACACTGCTGCATTGGGTGACACATGTTCTTATTACAAAACACAATACCCTGATATTTGTTAAGAATATCTTTTGCATGAGCTCTTGCTTACTTCAGATCAGAGGCCTTAAGATACTGTAGAAGAGTTGCAACACTAAGTGATCAAAAACAGCAGCGGGTCATGTGACTCATGGCTTCAAATAGTTCCGAACAGCCAATTCAGATTCAGATTCATTGTTTTATTTAGGGAACAGTGGGTTTTAACAGCAAATTGCTGCTTTTAATGGCTTGTACAACCTTGCAAAGTGATTCTGTGATCTGCTGTTGCAGATAGCTCAGATAGTTAGGTACCTAATATGTTAATGTGACTCAAAATTTGATAAGTCAAAAAGGTGTTTTGACACATCTCTAAAGTAAGATGTCACAAGTATAAATGCTGCTATTGATTTCAGCTTCTTAAAATGATAGCAGCCAAGTCAATGTAACTGTATGATGCTGCTGCTAATGTTTGGAACTATTCAACCATCCCATGATTGGCAATTGCTGTATACAATTTTTAAAAAAGGTCCTTATTGTTAGTGAAGACGTCACTCTCCTTAATCCACTCTACTTCAGAACCGTTGGGGCAACATTTAAAAAAAGAAGTATCATTATGTTTCATAATGATGAAGCATCGCCCAGTGCAGTGGTGTTTCCCTGATGTGTTTTTAGGTCTATGGCACAGACAAATAAGATAATCCAGGACTGACAGGCATTAATCATGAGTAGAGGCAAATCATTGCTGGTTTTAGTCTCTAAAATGTGTTTAAAATACTGTTAATATAGAGGATGATGAGCTTATCCTTTGATTCGCTGAAACAATGTCCCCTAACGACTGAATCGTTATAGCCCAGTATCGGTGAGCATTGTTACCTGTCATTGAACCCTCACCAGTGGACCGACGCCTATTGCCCACCAGGGCGGTGGGCATGTTTGGGCAGAGATCTCAAAACAGAGTTGTAGATGGATGACAAGTTGTGTCTTAGTCCACCACCCCTATTTAGTGAGGGGTGTTCTATTTTTACAAAAATAGCTTCCTTAACTCCTCTCTCAAACCAGCGATGTTCTCTGGAGAGGATCTGGACTTCACTGTCCTCAAAAGAATGTCCTTTGTCCTTCAGGTGGAGGTGGATTGCTGACTCTGGTCCACTGGAGCTGGCCCTCCTGTGTTGGGTCATGGGTTTGTGCAGCGGATGTTTCGTCTCACCAATGTACAATTCATTACACTCCTGACTACACTTAATTGCATACATCACATCACTGTTTATGTCTGGGTTCATTTTTATTGAGCTTTGGCTAAAACAAACAAAATTAGACAGGATATGTATTTTATATACTATATAACTATAAAAAGCAAAAAGACGTGAGCTACTGTAGCTAACACTTCAAAAAAACTGAAAGAATTGGAAATTCTGACCGACTGATTAGTGAAAGGGCATTTACATTGCTGCACTTGTGGGCTGAATATACCTGAAAGATATGGGTGCAGTATTTTCTTACCCCCTATTAAAATAGCCAGTATTATATGTCTGCATCTTCTGTCTTGGAGGGAGTGTGGTGAAGTCTGTGCAGGCTTTACTTCACTTACTGTGGTCATGTATGAAAGGGGAAACAGAAGGTATTAAAAATATTCTGTGGGTCCTGGTTGTATTTTATTCATCTTAAGCAGTGCCTCCAGAAATAAAAAAAGAACAAACATGTAAATGCTGAGAAGGGAAGCCAAAGTATAGATAAATAGAAAGAATTGAACTTGTGGAACAAAATAAAAGCTTGAAGGAAATAGCTTCTGAAATCTGAGGCAGTATTAATTGTTTTGAAGGAAGGTGGGCAAATTAAACTATTTCAAAAAGTGAAATCATGGACACAAATAATGGAAGAGCTGATGAAAACTAACCTCCCTAAAGAAGGCAGATTTGTTGGCATACACTGACTCTGCAGTGTTAATCTAGAGTCAAGTAAAACTAAGACTAGTTGTACACGACCTGCTTCATGAGTCCATTTGCACTAAGCACAACAGCAACATTTGCAGATGTCATTTGCGCCGCACAATCATTTCTTTCAGCTATTTACACTTGTGAATTCACAAACCAACATGAGCATCAAATGAATCAGATTAACTGTTTCCAAAATGTTGCCTTTAGCAATGACACAGAATCCTGCTCTCCTTTGTCTCATCATTTTCCTATTAGATCATTCAGATAAATTAGGTCACTACAGTACAACTCTAATTATTAAGGTTAGCTGAGGGACAAGTTGCCTGTTTGAATCATCTGCATTTCTCTCTCCTGCACCAGATCATTCTTGCCTCCCCCTGTTATTTGCTGTCACTAAACATGTGCAAAGTGTGTTAGTTGCATCATTTTCAGAGGCGTACAGTGAAGTGCATCCTAATGTGTGATCACTTGTTTTGATTGCAAATTATATCTGTCATGATGCTGTCACCAGTGCAAAAGCTTTTCTTAAACATCCATAACCATATTAGTACAGTAGAGATTCAATAGAAATGTTTTAAATATGTTTGCTGATATAAGATTTACTGAACACACATTTTTACTGTTACATCTTCTATGTCCTCTTTCATCACTTCTTAATCTCAACTTGTCTATTCCTTATACGCCTTGACCCCATCTGAACTGCTGCTGATGAAACAGTTGCCATGTTGGAGGAAACACCTCCTCCACCTTGTCACAATGAGACCTACTTCCTCTTACACTCCTGGGACAGGAGGTCGGTGTGAGTCACTTCTCATGAGGATCGAAGATAACTGAGTAATTTAAACGAACCAGTGAGAATAAGATGCACCAAAAGCCTACACCCATATTTAGCAGCTCTGTACTTGCTATTGTCTGATTGCAGTGGGAGAAAGAAGCATGCTGTTTTTGCCTGTATCCTGTTTGGGGTAGAGGTTAGCCATTACTGGAATAGCCTCCTGTGGCACTAGGGGAAGGTGGACTATGTAGGATAGCTGGGGCTTCCAACATGGCAGCTCTAGTTCCAAGACTGTTAACTAATCTGGATCATTAGGAGGAGGGCTGTGTGCGATTAGAAAAAAATAGTGGCTCTAAAGTGGTGGAGATGAGAGGAGATGGACTGCTTTGTCCGAGTCTGTGTCAAATCAAAGCCCAGATGTGAGCAGTTGATTGCCAGTATATGGGAAACAAAACAGCTGAGATTTTAGACCCTACCAAATACCCAAGTTTGACACCATTTGATATATATTAATTATAATTCAAATCGAACAATTCTTCAC